AGATCGTAATTTTGATCTGAATCAGAGAACGAGAGAACGATCAATCTCCAATTCAGTACCCCCAGAGGTTTTGATTTGTTATGGGAACACGGAGGACTTTGAGACTCGACGGATTTAACATGCATCAGTCACCATTTACTACATGGGGAGTCTTCAGCCGGCAGGGATCGAACCCACGACCACTTGGACATGGGCCCATTGCCCTACCAACCGGGCTATCCTGGCCAGGAAAAAATATACAAAAGGGACATCTGAGCTAAAGGGTATATGTGAAAAAGGGATTATAATTAAAGTTTTCATTTTATACCTTTTTCACTATTTAATACACATATTACATAGGACAGAACAGTATCACGATGTACAAAATTCCGGGTCAAATTATGGTTAAAAGTACCAACACCCAGTGTTCCGGTACGTTTCACCGTAAAATCCATTTTTACTGAAACAAGTTGCGAAGCAAAAAAAAATTATGTACCGTAATTTTTAAAGTAATAGTTACCATAAAATTACTCAATCACTCTACTTAAATGAATGTTATTGTAAATATTACGGTATAATATTTTACGGTTAAAGTGGATTTTTGTTAAAATATATTTTACGGATGAAGCACCCAGAGTACCGGTACTTTATACCGCAATTAAACCCGGTATTTGTTTTGGTGCATTATAAATTATCGGTGTAGCATATCAACTTTTGTTACTGTAATGAGGGAGTGACTTTATACAGCAAAATCCTTATGTCATCCTTATGTTCTAAATTGTGTCATTTTTAAGAAACAACTTCTAAAAACTGAAATATTAAAATGCAAACTTAAATTTTTTGCTATAATTTGCTCTTGTCACTAATTTACTGTGAGGTTTCTTAGAACTTTCAATTAAATTATTTAAAAAAATCATTTGTTTGGAATCATACAATGTCTTAAGGAAAAAAAAACAGAAAATTTTCTCGATTACATGTTTCGGTAGAATTAGATAGAATACCCGTAGTACCGGTACTTTTTACAGTAGTTTTATCTGTAATTATTTTCAGTGTAGCAACGTCAAGGATGAGCAGAACTTAGTTATGTAAAAGCATAAAATTACATTTAAAGTAGCAAGAATAAAAATTAAAACTGTTTTAAAAAGCTTGAACATCGATATAACAGTTGTCCACTATTTATTTTTCCGAATGTGCATTTATGATAATATTTTTTTTACAAAACATTAATTTGTGCACATTTTAAAACTATGTATTGTATTGGTATAGAAAGTTAAATGGTCACGACTCAAGCGTTAATAGTGAGGAATTCCATAAAAACAACTGAGTTTTTTTTTTCTAAATTTTTATAGGTGGTGGGAGAAATATAACTTTTCCTATAAATGACACTTAATTGTATTTGTCTCGGCTCTTAGAATTACGTGCAGGAGTCAGTGTGTCCTTTGATCCTTCCAGCTTTTTTCGCCATCTGCATCCTCAACCAAACGGAACACAAACTTTTTGGGAATATTATAGTAATAATAAAATAACAACGTTACTGAATATGAAGGAAAATGCATGATGAAGGTTAGTACACTACTCCAAAATGTATAAAAAAAGAAATAAAAGAGATACAGACACTTTGTTAAACCTTGAGCTGATTTCTTGATACGAGCAGAGTGCATTCCTTTTTCAAATGCACGCTAAACGTGATAGCCCTGCCTATAAAATACTGAAGGCTCTTCACCCCTTTTTCCCAAAAACATATCAAACTCGGACATTTGAAATTACAAACGATGCTGTGTATACAAGTTGTTCAACAACCATTCCACCCAAAACGAAACGAAAAAGGTTTGGAATAAATGGAATGCTCAAGGTCGATATACTTCCCGCCATTTTGGTATTGTTTGGTAGGCTTTTATGATGAACATTATCATTGTTAGATGATACTAACTATATGGAGATCGGAACATAAAATAATAATTAAAGTAAATAAAATCTCTCAACCCTAACGTATCATCTGAATTTGGGATTTATTTGTAATTCCGCTAAATTCAACAAAGAAAAAAGTGCATTTGAAAAGAATAACAAACGAGCATAATAAATATTTGTTTTTTTATATCTTAAGAATTGAAAAAGGCATATTTTCATTTTGGTAAAAATATATATTATGACTTTTTTGTGGGAGTCACTTTTCTCTGCAGATTCATAAAAGTGCTACAAATATAACTAGAATTAAAACTAAAACAGCATCAAAATATCTAGAGAATGATTTAAAATATAATTAACACTTGAACCATGATTTTCGGTGGCCTCTTTAATTTTGAAAACGTAAAGGAACCTTTTTTAATCGGATTATATTACTGTATAAAGCATTATCTTTTGAATAAATTATACGTTATTCTATCGCTCTCAGTGCAAAAAAAAAAATTCACCGAAAGCAGTACCTCACTTGCCTAAACAGTAATGTCATATGTTTAAATAGATATCGGAACAAAATTTACTTTTTTGTATATTAAACTGGAATTACTTTTAAACTATTCATTCTAGGAATTGGGATTAGCGATTGTGGGGAGGGGAGTTATCGACAATGTCAACATTTATCTATGAAAAGATAATCCGACATAGAATCGAGTTAACATGTCTTACATATTAGTGATTGGTATTGTATTTTTGTAGTGGTAGACACTACAATACTCCCCTATAAAAATTATATATATGTGATAGAATCCGATGAACGGATACCACTAGTTGATTCATTGCTATTTTGCAAGAAGCCGGCAGAGAGCTGTATTATGATCATCGGACTTTTTTTGTAAAATGCTGATCGTGAGAGCTGTATTCAGTTCACGGACGTGGTCGCTCCAGTGTTTATATTAGCAGTCGAGTGTATACAGACCGACTTTGTCTGTGATCTTGACTGAGTAGTAACGGATCCAGGAGGTGGATAATGTAGCAGTCACTAATAGCAAGTCAACTGTTCAGTGGGGAATCCTTCGAAGTAGGCGTGTTCAAATCGAAGAGGGCGTTTCTGTCAGGGTAGGCGTTTTCACATCCCATCCGAAAGTCACTATTGTGGGGAGAGTAGATATCGACAATGTCAACATTCATTTATGAAAAGGTACCTTTGACATAGAATCGAGTTATCACGTCTTATATACTGGTGAATTGGAATTGAATTCTGTAGTGGTAGACACACTACTGCGATTCGGCGTAAACAAATACATTGGAAACAACACCTCATAAGCCTAGGAGAACAATAGTTAAGTCAATTTTTTTCCTTTACCCTTTCTCCCTACTAGTATAACCCCAATATCTTAAAATCATAATTATACCATGTACTAACAATGATAAAAAATTTTAAGGATTTTATCGCTAAGTACGCAACCATTATACATTTATATACCATGTCGCTCCATTGTGTTTACCAAGTGTCATAGAGTATTAGAGACAGTATGTTGTAGTCGAATCCTAGACTTCAATCTCTGTGGAGGTAGTGCATAATAACAAAAAGAAATGAATGCTTAATTATCTATATTTTTAACTGTACAATGAGGTGCAAAACAAAACAGTTGTAACTTTTCTGAATATTTTAAATAATTAAAACTGAACTTATTAAAAATGCTATTTTTCTTCTAAAAAAATCCGTTTTATTTCTAACGAAGCATTACGCTCCATTACTTTCTAAGGAAGTTGTTAAGCATTAGTTGTTCAACACGCATTTCATAGATTATATGACATAAGGCTTACAACATAGAACTATTTAAAAGAAATATATGGCACATATTTTTTTCTTAATATTGTATATTTATTTAATGTTCAACATTTATTATTTATATTGCATATCATTGGGCTTTCAATAAAAATCTATATGAAAGAAATATATTGCACATATTTCCGTTATATAGTATATTTACTAAATGTTCAATATTTATTATATACATTGCATACCATAAGACATGCAATAAAGAACTATGGAAATGTATCGCATATATTCCTTTATTTTTATTAAACGTTTATAGTGCATATCAAATATTATATTGCATTGTTAACATTGCATATCAAAAGCCATGCAATAAAGAACTGTATAAAGTAAATACATTACATATATTTCCTTCATGTAGTAGATTTATTAAATGTTCAACATTTTTGGTACACACTGCATATCATTGGGTCTACAATACAGAAAATTATTGCATACATAAAGTAAATATATTGCATACATTTCTTTCATATAGTGTATTTATTAAATGTTCAAAATTTTTTAGATTATTTATTAAATGTTCAACCCTTATTGTATATATTACATATCATTGAGCTTGCAATAAAGAACTACATAAAGGAAATACATAGCATATATTTCCTTTTCTTAGTTTGTTTATTAAATTAAATATACAACCACTAATAGTACATCAAATTGATTTCTGAGAACATTAAAATCGAAATCAATCAATGTAATAACTCCATTATTTAAATCTCTAGGAAGGCGAATTTGGTGATAGTACAATGACTTTGATTAAAAAAATAGGTATGTTTAAACTTCTTAAACTTTATAACGGCCGTTTAAAGTTAATTATACTACTACTTTATTGATAATACTTTAATTGATAATACTACGAAACAGACTAACGTAAAAGTCTCACTCTTGGATTAAAAAAAACGCCATTCACTGTGTCAGGCGCCAACCAGTTCAAATGTTAACGTGATATATTCAAAAATATCTATAACATATGCATATTAGAAAAAGAAATAAGGTTTAATTGTCAACCTATTTTTTTAAAAATATTTACTTTCAATACTTTTTAAATTAATTTGCAATTAACTAACGAAACTTTAAATTAATTTTAAATTAATTAACGAAAGAATATTACATATTTTAGCAGGCATCTTTTCTTTATTTATTCATCCTTGCTCATTCCACTTAAATTAAGTCATTCATGGTAAAACTTCACTCTAAATTTTATCGGAATTTTTTTTCTGAATTCATTGAAAATAGAAGACACATTCAAGAACATAAGAAATTTTTTATTTGTGCAGAAACAGTTAAAAAAAACAAGTAAAAGTAACAAAAATCATTTTAAAGAAATACAAAATAGAAACTGAATGTTATTCAACTGTCAAAGTCCAGCTCATTTACGTTTCTTGAAATGATATCTGAAAAAAATAAAATAACATATTAGGCTTAAGTAAAACTTTTTACTAGTACTTCTAACTTTATAACTCATTTCATCGCAACTTGTATACAAGATGTTTCAGAAGGATAAAAATTTAAACATTTCTAACAATTTTCTAAGTAGTTTTTGTACTTTTCAAAAGAAAGCTCAAAACGCTCAGGGTTTTTTTACAAATTGTATTTTGCATCGTAAGACAAAATTTAATAGCAAATGGTACAATGATCGTCCGGAAACTTAACTCTGATGGTATAGAGCAGTGATTCTCAACCTTTTTCTCGTTGCGGCAACACTTTCAACGATTTCGAAATTTGACGGCACACAATGAAAAACATTAGATTCAAAGTTGTTTAATTACCTATTTTACACTGTGTTAAATAGTTTGTGATAATAATTTTGAAAGTGAAATAAAATAATATGTACTACAAAAGCACATTGATTAAGGGATTAATTATTTCTTTCGACAAATTTATTATTAGTTAGCAACAGTAATTTTTTTTTTTTTTGCTTGTTATTAATTGTTAGCTTGTTTTCTATAATTATTAACTGTTATTTTTTCGTGATTTCCTGTTAACTAGTTTTTTTTGCTAATTATTAATTGTTAGCTTAATTTTTGTTTGCTAACCTTTGTGAATTTGTTTTTTATATATTTGTTTTTTCAGTTATCCTTTGTTAATTTGTTTATTAATTGCATAGCTTACTTTAATGATTAGCTCTTACAACATTTTTTAAAATTTTGTGTCATATACAATTTAAACATCTCCATCTTATTTTAAGATTGTCAGAGACAATGCAATCGCCGACAAAGATGTTCACGCGGTTAAAGCGTGGAAAAATTATAAAAAGTATATATACGTATACACTGTCTTTAATTTAAACTTCACTCATAATTAAAAAAAAACATTATAATTTTTATTGCATCATTTCTAATATTTGGCGGCACATTTTAAGAATTTGGCGGCACACAAAAGTGCCGCGGCACAGTGGTTGAGAATCACTGGTATAGAGAAAGAAAACATACTTTTATGGGCGGTGATCCCCACAATGTCGGTCTCCTTTTTAATAAATCGTGTTTAATAGTAGAAAAAAATATTTATGGAACACCCCTTGTCGTTTTGAGCTTTCTTTTAAAAAGTACAAAAACGACTTCGAAAATTGCTTGAATCTTTTTTAATTTTTAAGATATTCAAATAAAGCTTTTTATCATTTGTTGCCAAATACGTTTTCCGTACATAATTATAAAAAACTTGAAACTTTTTCTGTGCATGCGCAGTATTAAAAAACTAGCTTAACTAGCATGTCTTGCGCAGTTTTTAACGAATTTTTTTTATAATTTAAATTGGCAATTTTGTAAGTAATCTTAAAATTCTCCAAATATTCCGTTCAGTTACATTTAATATTTAAGAAGTTATAATAAAGAAAACGTAAGGTGGAAAAATTAATTTTTTATGAAAATGTCCATATCTTCAAAAATATTGATTCTAGGTTTACGAAAATTTATGCAGTTATTAAAAATTAAATCTAAAGTAATTATTTCTAGTCACAAGTTTTTTGCTTGATTTTCTGGCATAGGGTGTTCAAAAATACTTGTTTTTTTTTTTTCTTAAATTTTTGTAGGTCTTCCAAATCTCTGAAAGGTTTAAATCTTACTGTTAATTATTAAAAATTGCACGAGCTAAACACCTATAAAGTTAAGAAATAATCCTTTAAGTGTTTTCTTTTGAGAAATTTAAAAATGTCAAAAACTGAAAGTGTCTCTTCCATTATTGTAGGGTAGTATATTTAAAATTTATGAATTAAAGTAATAATTTCATATTCAGAACATGAATACAAAATAATATTTTTCTTTTAAAAATTCTGAATTAAATTTTACTTTTAAAGCCAACTTTTACATTACAATACCTATGATAAAAAATAATAAATTAATAAGAGAATTAATATAGATCCCATCCTCTTATGAAAATCAACACCTAATAAAACAAAGAAACTTACATGAAAGTGCTTAAAGGAAGCATTAAAAACACTGTTGCAGCTAGATAACACGATCCTGGAAAATATTCTATTGTTGCGTTAAAAATTTTTGCAATTACTATGCTTCCAAGTAATGGAACAATAGCTTCACATGTAGCCAAGAAAGAAAACACTCGCCCTATAACAAGAGTACACATGATATTTAGGCACACATAAATATATTTCTACAGTCAAAAAGTTTGAAACATTATGAACATTATATAAATTTGAATAAATCTTATATATCGTATCAACTTTTCAATAGATCTTAAATTAAAAATATTCTACATACACTCGCACAAAAATCAGTCCAATGATAAACAGTAACAAATTTACTGAAAGCTTAACAAATTGTTAATCTGAACCTTTTTCCCGTTAAGTCAAATTATTGAGTATAATTAAGTTTGAAAATAATTTATTGACACAATTTGATTCAAATTTAACATACCATTAAAGTTGCAACAAGATATAACAATGGATTGATCAGCAGGATGCAGTTTTTCTAACAATCAAAAAAAATATTCATTTTTAAATAACTGATGTCTCAAAAATGACCAGCTTATGGTTGAAATATACGGTTTGCTTTCTTCTGCTCAGGACGCCAAATATTTTTTTCATGTTTAAACATAAGTGACGAAGTACATCAACAGATGGCGCTTGTGGTTGGAAAGAAGCAATAAAACTTTATTGAAACATTTACCATTTGTAGAATAGCTTGGCTCAATTTAAAGACAAAACTAACAGACACCTTTGGAAACACTTTAATGAGAATGGTCCGATATGCAAAAGAAAACATTGTTTAATAGATTTTCCATGCAGCAACGCTTTTTGTTGATAATCTATAGGTAATTAATTTTGAATAATTCCTAGCTGCTCATCAGCACATTTTTACATTTTAGAATAAGTATTTGAGAATTTACATACGAACTTACATTTTTTGATACCTTCCCAGTACAACGCATTCTAAATTTGCAGTATTTTAATTTTTTTTTCCTTAATTTTTATTGAATTCAACCTCATAAATCTAGGGCAACACAGTAATTTTGCAATTCGTTATAACTTAATTAATTCAGCGAAAAGGAATCTCTTCCATCGCTGACTTGCCGCCCATTGCTGAGAATTTCAATAAGCTTTTGCGAATCTTCGTCAGTGCAAAAGGCAGCCATTTTGAAATCAATTAGATTTATTTATTCCTAAAATTCCTTTCTTGTTATTATTTGTTATATTTTGTTAATTTATGTATTTTTAATAAAGTCACATTAAAACTTATTTGTCTTGATTCTTTCAGCCGTATCCTACATTGTACAAATTATAAACTTGAAGAAAAAAATAAAAGCTGGAGGTGTTCTGCAATTACCACAATTAATATACTTTTTTTAGAATTCTTATCAAAAAGAAAATGAAAAAAAAATATATGTACATTTGTTACCTGTTCAATATAAAATGCATATACTTACCCATTTCTTCCTCGGCAACAAGTTTAGAAATTAGAGATCTAACAGCTAAATTTCCCAATCCGTTTAGATTTCCAAAAATATTACCTATATATGATTGATTATGATATATAATTTTATAAAAATATATGATTTTTTTTGCAAAAATATTCATAAAAAAATTAATGAATAAAGTCTTAGAATTATATATTTGTACGCAACGACTCCCCCCCCCCCGAAATGAAAATTTTTAGAATATTTAACCGCAGTTAAGATTAAAAAAAATCGATAGATTGTGAGGAAGGGGAAATTTAAAAACGATATCGAAATATGACAAATCATAGAGGAGAACTACTGATAAAAACATAAAAACTTGTTTAATTGCTGATTGAAACTTAGAAGTGCTTCTAATGATCTTCTCGCCATTCACTCAGGAAATTAAACAGATTTTGAACTTTGTACATCCACCGTTATCTTTATTGATTTGTCAAATACCGACAGCTTTTTCAATTTTCCAGCTGAAATATTAATAAAATATCCANTATATATATATATCCTCAGAATTTAACAAAAATACCTTACTTAAATCAATGCAAAATTTATTTTAAATGATTTTTAAAATAATATAAAAATAATCTATTAACTAAATTACATTTCTTCCTTAGAATTTAAGCGTAATATATACTTTCCCAGCCAATTAATATTCCTTCTATGAAAAAAAGGGTAATTTTATAGGATGTATACAGATTTTACTTCAAGTTTAAATTTTGCTCAAGGTTAAAATTTTTAATATATATATATAAAATTTAGTAAGTAAAATCGTGCATCAAAATGTTAACAAAAAACAAACTATTGACGGAAGTAATTTCCCACGTGCCATATTCAACTCGATAATACACATTTTATTCAATTTAACACACAATTCATGCAATTCAATACACAATTCATTCAATTCAACACACAATTCATTCAATTTAATACACAATTCATTCGATTCAACACACAATTCATGCAATTCAATACACAATTCATTCAATTCAACACACAATTCGAATCAGCTAGTAATTTTCGCAATCTCACATGTATGATTCTCTCACTATTAAAATAATAAATTTTCAAAAAATAATTAAGCAAGCAGTTTTAATGTTTGAGTAAAACTATACTTTTAATATTAAATTGAAACTATGTAAATATGATATAAATTAAAAGAAGAAAAGTAAAAACAGAGTAACACAATTTTTATCGGCATACTTACTCAAGTAATATAACCAGAGTTCAAAAGCAAATGCCAGAAATATATTTTTTCCAATGATGGACACGCTACCGATGATGCCAATGAGAGGATCGCTGAACTTGAACACTTTGATGAACACGAAAGTACAGATAAAAACAACAATCATCTCGGAAAAACTGAAGATAGCCCACATTTGAGAATATATAGTCGGGTTCCATTTATACATATGATGAGTGTATACATACGCAATGTCAGTATAAACTATTGAAAATGAGTAAAAAAAATTGATTAATGTTTACTATAAAAGAAACGAAAAAAGTTAATTATTCTTATAAGAATACTGTTACTCAAAAAGATCTTAGCAACTGTTAACTAGAGTAACTAGCTGTTAACTAGAGTTTGTCAATAGAAAGAACTCTCACCATCAAGTCTAAGACCACTCTTGCTTCTATGGAAACAAGAAACAGCGCATTTCAACGAGGGGTGTTTCGCTCTTATTTGATACCTTATCTCTAACCGACCCTACCCAAAACCTCTTATATTAACCCAAATGACGATGAGTGCTTGAAATATTTATACTTCGTTGCCAGTCACAACCACTGCTTCTGACAAATGGTAATTTTGAACCGCGATGGCTCAGGGGATAGAGCGTTCGCCTTCCAATGAGGTGATCCGGGTTCAAATCCCTGCGATGGCTGGTCGATACGATTTCCGCATCCGGCTCGCACCGACCACATTCTTGACGTGAAATATCCTCAGTGGTAGACGGATCATGGGTTAGAGCCCCCTTGCCGTCAGGCTAAGCGTGGGAGGTCCTCGTGGTCTTCCTCTCCATGTAACGCAAATGCGGGTTAGTCCCATCAAAAAGTCTTCCACGAAGGTAAATTTCTCCCGATACTTGATCCAGGAGTTCCCTTGTCTTCTGGATTGGGTCCAAAATTACAAGGCTACGGAGTTGAACATTAGTAGCCGTAAAACCCAAAAATGGGGTCAGATGTTCAACGACGGTTATGAAATAAAATGGCAAGATGAGTTCTTTCCATAGAGAGACTATACGTAAGACAAGAAAATTATGCTCTTATATAGGATATACCATATACCGGTAAAGAGGGTCTATTCAAGGTAGGAAGAGCATTCAAACGACGACTAACGATACGAAACTTTCAAAATTCTACTATTTCTTTATAATTTAATTGAATATACCTTATATTAGGCTCCAATGAAATATTTTATGAAAATATTATATAAATTTCAAAGAAATTTAATTATGAAATTTTAGAGCGTGAAAATTTATATCTTCCTTGCATTTAAGAAAAAATTAAGAATATTTTGTTTGAAGTAATTTTTTACCATACAATATTTTCACAACCGTTTACAAAAACATGAATTTAAAATATTAATTTTAATAAATAGTTTTCAAATCTTTCTTTCATGGACATCTAATCGAGGAAGATGGTCTCCCTCATCCACTCAGGTAAGCTAAGTTCTAAATAACCAACTGAAGGAAACCAAGAGTTCAATATTATTCTTGCTTTATATTTATTTCATATCATCGTAATTTTGGCTCATATTGTATCATCAATTCTAAATGCATTTGAAAATTTCAGAAAATCACTTATTTATCGCACTTTGTTGCTTACTAGAGAAAATAACATTTTAAAAATTACAATCATAGTTGAAATTCCAAAACTTATGGATTTATCATAATATAAGAAATAACACATATTTGGTTTCAAAGATAACCTATGAATAAAGTATTATTCTGTCTGAAAACGAAATTAATGAATTAAAATTGAATTTAAATAATAAAAAACATTCAGATGTCACACGATTACAAGATTTTTGAAATTAAGGAACACTTTAACACTCTAATATACTAGAAAATCCTATAAACATTCTACAAATCTGCAGTTTTGTTTTCAATTCTTGCTCTACTGAATACATACCTTAATATCAATACCATCCTTACCTTCATACGTTAATGCAATAGTGCAACTAGAGAGGAGAAGAAGCCATAGACAACACCTTCCTCCATTTTCCCGGCGTCTTATACACGTCTTTAATCCATCCGTGAAATTTTCCGAACTAAATAAATCTTTCAATTTTTTCTTCAATCCAACTTTCGAATCTAAGCCTCTAGTTTCTGGTACCAGAAAAACCACCCATACAACAGCCAAAAAATGTCCCACAGCCATTGTGATGAAAACACCTAAATAACCATGTAGTTTATAGAGTTGCCCACCAGCCAACGCTCCAAGTGTTACGGCCACTCCGAAAGCAATTTGCAAAAATGTGTACTTCAAAGATCTGGATTCTGTGTCCGATACCTCCGATATGTGACTGTAAATGATTGTTGATACGGCAATAAAGCCACCGCTAAACTGCGTTGGCAAGTTTGAGATCACAATGAACTCTAACCCGGAATCGAAGTAGATGGTGCACAAAATGACTCCAATATCGTTCAAGAAAAATCCAAACAAGGCAGATATCAGAAGAGGCTTGCGACCATATTTGTCACTCCATGGAGCCAAGAATATTACAACGCATGCACTAATCGGAGCAAGGAAGTTCAAGTACAGATTATAATTATTTGCCAGGATCTCAACGTCGTTACTGGCTTTTATGTTGGAATCATTGTGGATATCGTCACAAACATTCTTCGGATATTTGTAGTAGAATCTGCATCCTTTGTCCATCATCAGATTAGTTAGACAAGTTGTATTAAGTATGAAAGAAAACATGAAAAGGAACATCACTGGCTCAATTCTGAGGGAACAAATTATTTCTAAGCATTTTGAAGTTCTAGATAAATTGTTACTTTTTAGAACGTTTATACAGGATGGTTGGCTTTCATTAGCAATGACTAACTTTTCAATCTCGTTTAAGTTGTTATCCTCTGGGTGAGTCTTTTTGTCATTTTCGGGCAAATCATTCGAATCCATGGTTTAGAATAATGAAAATAAACCTTGATCTTTCAAATCTATAATCAGATCAGAAAATCTTTGAATAAAACATATTATAATGTAAATAATAAATGAACTGATTTTTCATCAAATTTTTCAATTGTCCCTTTGAAGAAGAATTTTTATTAAACATACTTTTTATAATTTTTTTATTATTTTGTATTAATTTAGATTAAGATAAGTAAAAAATATTATTCTTTGCATTTTAATAATTTATGGTTAGATGAAATACAGCATGAGACACAAATGTCTTTTTTTCTGCGATTAAGGTTAAATTTTCCAAACATGCTTACTTTTAGACAATATTTTTTCAAATATGCACTTCTTAACAGTTATTCATTATTGAAGTTTCTTAAATTTTCAAAATCAATTATTGATACATTTATTAATATCAATGAAAAAAAACTAAAACAACTTATTTTCGGATTGTATATTTTAGTACAAATACAATTCTGATAATCTAACAGATTTTTTTAGTAACTATTAAGTTTTTTTATAACTAAAAAATACCAAAATATTTTTTGCTTGTTATTAGAGGGTCAGAAAAAAATATATATAAAGAAGCGTCAAAGGGATATTAGGTTTCAATTTATATGTTAAAATATTCAGTTTATATGTTCAATCCCTTTCGAACATATAATAAGCACGCTAATTCATTCTTTCAGAGCTTCACTGATTGGCATAATTAGCTTATTAAAGGTCACCCTTTCGAGCCATTAAGATTGAGTCCTAGAACACGAAGATCCGATCATTAGATCAAAAGTTATTCAAAATGGTCCGTTTTTTATTTTGCGCACTGTACATTCTAACTTCAAGAAATTTTTATATAAAAATGTAAAATNTTGATCAAGTTTTTTTCATGGATGTTAGCGTCATGGTTTTTCGCGGAAGCTTTTTTTTTAATGGAATTTAGTAAAATCCTTTAGCAAAAATGCGAAAATGCTTTGTTGAATTTTAGCATTTTTGAGGGGTCTTTTCGCATTTTGCGAAAAAAGCTACTGTAGCGGAAACCCTGCCTACTTCTAAACAATAATTTTTTCAAATTTGCACTTCCTTACAGTTATTCATTATTAAAGTTTCTTAAATTTACAAAAAATTACAAAAAAATTTAAAACTACTTATTTTCGGATATTATATTTTAGTACAAATATAATTCTGATAATCCAGCAGATTTTTTTAGAAACTATTAACTTTTTTTATAATTTAAAAATGCCGAAATAATTTTTTGCTTGTTATTAGAAAGTCAGAAAAAAATATATAAAAAAAGCGTCAAAGGGATATCAGGTTTCAATTTATATATTAAAATAATCCAAGTCCCTTTCGAACATAAAAAAAGCACGCTAATTCATTCTTTCAGAATTTCACTAATCACCCTGATTAGCATATTTAAGGTCACCCCTTCGAGCCATTAAGATTGAGTCCTAGAACGCGAAGATCCGATCATTAGATCAAAAGTTATTCAGTGTGGCCCGTTTTTTCCCCATTGAATATCATGAATTGTGATGCGTCAGATCAAGGTCTTTTGCTTTAATATTAATTTTCAATTCCATATATGTATTTTTTCAACTCCATAAGCGTATTCTCCGTGCTTATCCTTATTTTTGACAAGGATTTTAAAAATCATATTAAGGGTGGCTTTTAAGGAATACCCAGTATATTTTTGGATTTCTTGCCAAAATTAACCTCAGGAGTCATTGAATACACAAAATTAATCCCAAAATGAAGGAATCACAATCGGTGTAATTAAATGTAATTAAAATTAAATCTATGAAATCAAAATTTAATCACTAAAATTTAAATTATTAAGAAACCAGTTTCTTCCACCTAAACACCCTGTTCATGCAAAATCTTGATGATGACACAAATAAAAATAAATAATATTGTCATAACATTTTCAGTTATTTCTTAGAATAGAGCTTTAAAAGGAATAATAAAAAAATGAACAAACAATAGTAAGCAGTAAAAAATTTTCAAAACATAATTTTTTCTTAGGTTGAAAATTAAGTTGGCCATTCTGATTTTTATTAGAATTTTTAAAAAAAATTCTAATTCGATTATCGAACGTGTCACAGATTCCAAATTTGATACATTTTATTTCTAACTTAAAAATAAAAAAGTTTTGTTTCTTGATCAAATTTTATTTGTTTTCTTCTGGAATATTATTGATTTATTGATATTCTAAAGTTCAGTGAAAACAGTTGAATTTTTAAAATGTTTGGTTTTCCTCACATTAAGATTCATTAAAATATTTTTTTTCAATGATAATTTTTATAGTTTACACGTCTTGAAACTCCTTATATAAAATATCGAAGTAATTTTTTTTAAAAAAATAGATTTTTCATACAATATTTCAATTACACAGCATTTCAGATTGCAGTGCAAAATGCGTATTTGCGAAAGTAAGCATTGCAATTGCAAAAAAAAGTACTAATTTTCTAATAAACATAGCAGTAACTAAATTAACACAATAATAAATTAACAGTAAATAATAATTTTTATAGTTTACTCGTCTTGAAATTCCTTACATAAAATATCGAAGAAATTTTTTTAAAAAAATAGATTTTTCATACAATATTTCAATTACACAGCACTTCAGATTGCAGTACACAATGCATATTTGCGAAAGTAAGCATTGCAACTGCAAAAAAAGTACTAATTTTCTAATAAACATCACAGTAACTAAATTAACACAATACTAATAAATTAACAGTAAATAATAATTTTTATAGTTTACTCATCTTGAAATTCTTTATATAAAATATCGAAATAAAATTTTTAAAAAAAATAGATTTTTCATAAAATATTTCAATTGCACAGCACTTCAGATTGAAATGCGTATTTGCGAAAGTAAGCATTGCAACTGCAAAAAAAGTACTAGTTTTCTAATAAACATCGCAGTAACTAAATTTAATATGGAATAAATTTTTTCTCCTATTCCCACCAGATTGACAAACGTCATTTAGGTATCAATAGGGTAGATTTGTTGTCCACTCTTTCAGGGGCACCACATTAGGTGGAACAACGTCCGGGATTCGAACCCAGGACTTTTCCAATGGGAGGTCTACTCCCCGGTCGGCATATGGAATAAAATCCATTTCAAAATAAAACAAAATTTTAATTTTTGGAAATTTTGTTCCAAAAAAATTGCACTTTTGAAGTATTTTACAACAATAAAATTCGTCTAAATAATTCTTAACAGCAAATTAATTTTTTATTTCAGTGCAGTAATAATATAAAACTAACTTTAAAAAACTCAAGAACAGAATTAAGTTTAGCCTCATTCTCACAAACTCAATATCGTCGTAATTGCCTGAACTAGAAAAAAACATCAAAAGAACAAAAAGCTATATCACAAACAGAAGAGAAATAAACAAATAAAATAACACAAGAAAGCATCGATATATTTTCAAGGTATTAATTTGAATTTTGATTAAACAATGCTTTTTCTTTTTATGTATTCATTCATTGTGCAGGTTTATAAAAAATCATAATAACCCAAGTACGAAATATATTTAATGGTGAATTAAGTGAATATTTCCAGTTTTTACATATTTTGTTTCAATTAAGAATTTATTTTTAGAAAAAAAAGCAAATACACTTACCCTTAACAGAGTCCACTTATGAAACTTCACCCGTAAAAACGGAATGTGCATTATCCTTATAACTATTTTTCCAAACTGAAACCTTGATCACGTGATCACATAGAAGTTTATTATGTATTGATTTTTGTAACGGGAATTCCCCTTCTTTTTTAAACTTAAACAAGTTTTTTTAACGCTTAGTAAATCAACTAAACCGGTCTTCTAATATAATATACGGGCTTAGTTTATTTAACACAGTAAATACATTTTTTAAATTAAATTGTTTCTCTTTCCTACTATATAAGTAAAAAAAATTGCTTAGTTAATTTTGCTGAACATGCAATTCTAATTTTCTGGTGATTATTGTTTTATGTTTAAAACAAAACGCACTGTTATTACAGAATCCGAATTTTCCTCTTAACAAGCTGATAATGCATTAGAAAAGACTTGCGTTCGTAACTGCGTGTTCTTTGTTATCAGAAAAATGTTATTTGTTCGCATTTTAAATTTATACAAGCCATAAGGTGACGAATAAACTTAGGCATTATTTTAGTAACCTGCCAACTACAACTCAACGCTGCTTGTCTGGTATCCCCTAGCAACACAAAAAGTTAGACGCAAAAAAAACTAATGTTTTCAAGTATCATTTTGATTATTATTTTCCTTTTGTATAGATAGCTATATTTACGAACTGCTTTAGTTATCGTCGTTGCTTATTAAACTGTACTTTATTACTAACTGAATGCACGTTCTTCGCAAGGGGTGAAAAAAAAACATCAATAAATCTGCACTGAACAACACTACAAAATCATGGACAAAATTTTTAGTCATATACTAACACAAATAATAGAGTTAAAATATTCCCATGTTTTTTTTATCTATTATTATTTGTTGACTTTCTCAGTTGCTTTACATTATTAGATTAAGCAATATAAATTTTTAGAAGTTCATTCCATCAAAATAAAGGCTAACTGTATTCAACATCATCTGGCATAATCCTGTTGCCCAAGGCGACTCCAAGCTGCTCTCTCCTGTATATATCTATCTATATAATAAATCTATCATAAAAATGAGCAGTATTTGTGCAGCTGTAATGGGCACCAAATTTATTCTACTTATATAAGAGTGTAGTGCGTCTGCCACTACAAAAAATACGATTCTCTATAAACTATACGATTCTCTATAAATAAGATAAGACATGCTAACTCGATCTTATGTTGGGGAACCTTTTCATAGATGAAGGTTTACATTGTCGATATCTTCTCTCCCCACATTGGTGAACTTCGGACGTGATGTGAACACGTCTACCTTCACAGAAACTCCCACTTTGATTTGAACACGCCTACTTCGATGGATTGTCCATAAGAAACAGTTGACTCGCTGCTTGTGACTGCGACATTGTTCTCCTCGCGCTGTTGCTATTCAGTCTCGATCGCAGACAACGTCGACCTGTATACACTCGACTGCTAATGGCAACACAGGAGCGACCACGACCGTGAACTTGATACAGCTCTCACGATCAGCACTCAAAAGTACGGTGATCTTAATACAGATCTCTCGGCTTCTCACAAAACAACAATGAATCAACTAGTGGTATCCATTCATCGAATTCTATCACAGCCATAATTCTGGTAGGGTAGTGCAGTGTAGTGTGTGTCTACCACTACAAAAATACAATTCCAATTCCCTAGTATATAAAACATGTTAGCTGGATTCTATGTTGGGGTACCTTTTTATAGATGAAGGTTGATATTGTCGATATCTACTCTCCCACAAGAGTATAGTTAGTATCTATCAAAACTTCGCCTATTACCATAACGCAAATGGTGCCTATTATCAAAATTAAGCATCATTGGTGTTATAATAATAGTATGTTGATGGTACCAAGTAACGAATATTCAAAGTCCCCTATCATTGATAGGGGACTTTGAAAAAGACACCTGTTAATAATTATGGTCAAGTTTGGGATAAGTTTAAGAAGCTTTAGGATTATTTTTTTAAGTGTATGCTTTGGCGCGTTTGCCCATAAGCCATGAATGTTGTGTCTCCGTATAAACAGCCAAAGAGGTTAATATAATATTTTGGCATGTTTGTGAATATTGGAATGGTATTAGCATCGTAATTTGGCGCCTGAAATTAGCATAGCACATGGTACTAGTTTGAAATACGTACGTACGGAGTTTGAAATTGAAGTTTTTTTTCTACCAAAGAATCGTCTGCAGTTCATTATTTACTTATTTGAAAGGATGTGATTGAATCGTTTTTAATTTTAAAATTTTAATAAATTATAAAAAAGAATAACATAAATAGAATCTTTTAAATGAATTTTATGTTATTCATTTTTTATAATTAGTTGAAGACCCGATACGACTACGGTTTAATCACCCGAAATTAATTAGCAAATTATGAGCGGCAGACGATTATTTTATAGAAAAAAAAACACTTCAATTTCGAACTCCGGTTCGTAATTTTGAATGAATTTTCATTTGGGACTTCGCTGTCGAGCATTGATTTTAAAACAATGATAAATGTGACCGGTACGTTGTTATTAAAATGTTGTTATTATATTAAAATAAGTTATAATCTAAAAAAATTAACATTTTTATAAAACCATTTATATAAATGTTATAAACATGAAATTATTCTATTAACTTTTGATGAATTGTCTGATGTTATTAATTTTTAACAAATCAGGAATAACTTAGTGAAGTTTTAAGAAAATAACTTTTAAAATATTCTGTAATTAAAAAATATACACTGAAGGGCACGTGCTTTCTCCTAATAAGCAGCATTATAATCTACATCGAGAAGCTTGTTATCTCTAATCTTCGAGAATACTGATTGATGCCATTGCATTTAGAAAACTATTTTTTGATTATTCTGAAGATTTTAAGCGAATGCATTACCGACTAGCTCATTTCATTTACGAACTGTTTGGTGATACGCATCTTGAAAAAAAAAAGATAAACATTGCCATCTGGAGTCCACGACGAAAAGCATTTTCTTGTCGTGGGTTTGAAGTTAACATTTGGCAAGTATGGGGTGATAAGGGACACTTCTCTAGCAACTCGCTCGCATCGACTTATTTTGTTCCTCATCCCAACTTTTGGACACTACGTTCTGGATGATATGGAAAATTGTCTACGTTATCACGATCGTGGAGAAAGATGATACCGTTTGATGAACAATCCTCTTCAGATGTTCAAGAAAAATATGATAACAGTATTCTCGAACAAGCAAAAGAAATCTAAGGTTTCGAAATTCTTTATGAAGAAAATTTAGAAGATTGGTTTCAAAGGGATGCATGTGAGCCCAGCTTCCAGTATTTGACTGATGAAGACATCGTTATGTTATTAAATCAAATAGTGATGATAGTGACTGATGCTGAAGATGTAGTAAATGAATGAAATACAATTTCTCATTCTGCTGCTCTGTGGAAACTTTATTAGATTATTTGGGAGGATTTGATTACGGTGACATTACTGCAGTTCGTAAAATATGTGTATCGATATATGGCGAAGACGCATTACACATTTTTAAGAAGGAAAATTCCTAGTTTGATGTTATGCATGCAAATGTCAGTAATTTTTATATTTTTTGTACAGATATAGAATTTTTCTTTAATAAAAGGAGTTTTCGGATTATCCGTGTTTTTCGATTATCCGTGCGACCTGTCCCGGTGATTAACCCGGATAATCGGGAGTGCACTGTATAACCAAAAACATAAGATTTTAAATCAGGCGTTTTAGTTGTTTTGGTTTGGTTATTATAATTCTAAACATGCTTTAAAAAATGTGAAATACTTATGAATTTTATGCAAAACAAAACATTTAATTAATGCTTCAATAATTATTTTTATAAGCAGCAAAAATAGCTTAGAACATTTAATTGCATAAAATAAGATTTAGATTTTTTATAAGCTGTATTTACAGCTTATTTATAGGTGTATAAGCTGTATTTGAAATATCAGCAAAGGACTTGTCCTATATTTCAAATTATAAATATTTACATGTAAAAAACTTAGAAAACCGTAAAATGCCATTAAAAGATAGTTGATAAATTTAATTTTTCTTCATTGTCTTTATACAATACATTGCTTATTTCCAGACGCCTTCAATAATTTAAAATTTCGGAGATAAATTCTACAGAATTTGCAAGAAATCTGTAGGATCTTCTATTTTCTTGAGTCATTAATTCAATAAAAATTAAGCATACATAAATAAAATAAATTTTTAAAAAAATTGAAATACATTTTTTAATTGTCTGGAGAGCACTCTGAATTATAATAGTTGCTCTAAATATTGGAATGACTATTAAGTTAAAGCTTTTATTTTAAACAAGAAAATGTTTTAAGTGTGAAAGCATTCCGTTTTTGTGTTGTTGCACACGAATTTTCATGCGAAAGGTTTGGTTTTATCACTCTTCATAGAACTTAACTGGACGTCCAGAAAGTGGAACGCCATAGTCAAATTCGAAGGAGGTATCGAAAATGATTATTTTTCTCAACTTTACATTCCATTTTAATGATCTGATAATTAAAATAAATTAACCTCAACAAAAAAATCATAAATTCCGGTAGAACAAAACATCTTCTTTCGAATGTTCAAAAACATAACGCCAAAAATATTTAATGATAAGTGCAGGGTTCCCGCGGTCCTTGAAAAATTTTGAAAGTGGTAGTAAATGTAGGATGATGCTACAATATATTTTTTTTATTTTATATACCTTTTTATCGTTAAGTGCTGGAATTTTCATGCATATATATGTATTATTTAAAAACAATTTTAAGTGGTGGCTACACAGAAATTAAAATATCAAAATTTGTTTTATTTTTCTTACCATTTTTTAAAATTCACAAGGACCCTGGGAACCCTGATGTGGAGTGTTAAAACTTAAAAGAAACGTTGCGAACTCAGTTGGTAACCCAACGAGAAAATGTCAAACAAAACAAACAAGAAAATGTACAACTTTTTATTATTAATAAAAAGGCTGAATTAACAAATGAAAGTGTAAATAACCTATAAAGTATATGAATACAAAAATAACACAGAAATAAAAAGATAAATACGGGACATCTAAAATTCTTTATCAGAAAAAGTTTCATGTTTTGGCAAATTGCTCCTTTCCTTTTTGAATTGATATCTGAAAATAAGAAAAAAATGGAATTAAGACACAGTTACGTATAAAAATAGTCGAGAACATTTTTGACACGAAACTTTATAATGATGTGAACATTTTGAAACATAATGGATAAATAAAAATATTCCGTACATCTTTAACGTTTCTGCAACATTGAATGTTTCTGTTCTTCGATAAAAATGTGTTTGAAGCATATGTTTAACGTTTTTATTGCAATGATGCTAATAACTGCAAATTAAAATATAATAAACAAATATTCCAAACTTATGGTTTCAAATCTTTTCAACATTTCTACAATGTTGAATAATTTTTTTTCCATTATTAGAAAAAACGTTTTTAAAGCATGCATTCAAGGTTTTTTTTTGTTCCATATAAGCGTATGCTTTAACTGTCCCTTATCATTATTTCCAGATTGATACTTTACTAGTGTACGAAATTCACCCTAAATGGGACCGCACTATGTAATTGCCAATTGTGGGTATTGAGTGTTTTTTACTATGATCGCTTTTAAAAAAGATTTATTATTTTAAACTTGATTTATTATTTTATTGTCCCAAGCACTTCAATCACACACATCACCCAATCATGAAGAAGCACCTAGTTCCGTTTTTTATGGCCCTATCTTTTAACGGCCGTATTGGGAATCAAACATAATTCTGACCCTGATCAGACGACATGGACAGTGCCTGAGCTGACAACCCCACAACATAACCAACAAGAGAACTTTCAGATAAAGCAGACTTAACATCCACCTTGCTATGTTTTGACCCGCCTGATTTCATAGTAATTTTATGTTTTACAATTATTCTTATCGACCACTTCCATTTGTTTTTTGCACTTATGCATTTTATCCACATTTAGGTGAGAAACGATAATTGGTTGCGGTTTTGGAACAATAAAACTGATTTTCAAATTTAAATCCAAATTCGCCCAAATTAGTGTTGTTTTGCTCAATGAAATTTATTGCAGCTTGGAGTAAATTTGGGGGTAAAACAGTATTTTAGAGCGGGATGGAGCATAAATTTCGTTTTGGAGCAATTTGAGTAGCTGTACCAACCATTTAATTAATTTTTATTAATTAATTAAAGTTAATTTTTTAAAACTAGTATAATGCAAATTTAAATCACGATTACTAATCACTGGATTTAAATTTTCAGTCAATTTGACTACTGCAGAACCAGTGTAGATGAAAGAGTGGCAAAAGTACACATTATATTCCCAATAAATTATGATACACCAAAACGATGGAATGATAAATATTTTCTACTCAACCCATGTAGCGAAAGCTTTTAAAACTATATTAATTTACTCACAAGAAAGTTCCTAAAGGAAGTAGTAAGAAAACTGTTGCAGAAAGATAACATGCTCCTGGAAAGATTTTAATAGTAGCATTGAAAATTTTGGCGATTACAAGACTTCCCAATAAAGGCACGATTGATTCACATGTTGCCAAAAATGAAAAGACTCGTCCTGCAAAAAGAAATTTTATGGTCAACTTTCACAAAAAGTACACCAAAAACTATACACACATTAAGTAACCTAAAAATATTACCGTTAAAAAATTATATTTTAGTCACATGAAATTCAGATTATGTTTATGAATAATAACAATGGATATTCTGTGCACTTTGCATTACCTTTATAGCACAACATACATAATTAAGTTACATACGCATGAGCTTTTCTGGTACTCAGTTTATTGAGGAATACTCTACGGTGTTCAGGGAAATTCCTTTTAGAAGAAATTCTTTGCCTTGCTACCATGTGGAAGATAGCGTCTTGTAAAGATAAGAATATTGATAAACCTACCTTTTAGAGGCACCAAAGAACAAATAACGAAACGAGTTGTAGTTTTTTTTTGTTGTTTTTTTTGCCCCAAACATATTGTTTTTAAAAAAATACTCCATACACAGGTCTTTTAAAAATAACTTGACCTTATTTTAAATAATGAATGTTATTTTTGGGGGTAGGGAAGAGTTGGTAATGTTAAGACACATGTATGTAAGATGAAGTATTACGATTACACTGGGGAACAATTTTTTTTTCCGTTGCAGGAGATTTTTTTAGCAAATCTCAGATACTCTCGTATCGCAGATTTCAAATCTTCAATCGGTTTCTCTCTCAAGATTTTCTTAAATGACATTTTTAGTCTATTTTCTGTCGGAATGTGCAAATTTAAAAACGTTATATATAACAGGGAATGACATAACTGCTGCGAAAAATTTCTAGCAGAGCTAGGGTTCATCGTAAGCACATAATAAAATTATTGATTTAAAGTCCATACCCGAAAATGTCGTTATACGCCGCTAGGGGTTCTTCTCTATTATAATCCGTTTTTCCGTGTTCTTCTGAATAATGTCATAATAGGGAAGCGCGCTTTCAGCCCCCGGAAATTACCAGGCATTGGTTCCTAAGCAAATTAAATCCCGATGATGTGTCCTAACTCCACTAGAAGTCTGACGCAACTTTCTTGTGCTCCTCTCCTATTTCATACAGCGTTTTCAAAGCTGTACATTTCGACAAAAAAAAACTCTAGCTGTAGGAGCAAAACTCATTTCAGATTTGAAATACCTACATCCGAATCAATCATTCCTATAAGTGCAACAAAAAAAACTGTTCAAACTATTGTAATTGATAGATATTAAATTATTATTGTTCATTAGTCTTTTAAAATGCAACAATGTGTCTCAATATCTCTTACGTTTGAATTATGACAAAGTACTGAAGATAATGCGTAAAAAACAGACGTATGTAATTAAGAACTATAAATAGCATAAAAATTCCTAACTACAGATAAATGTCAGATTTATCACGCATTAAATAAATGATAAGCTAAGATAGTAGACTTAGTAAGTTAATGCATTTAAATATTAAAAAAACTCGTAATTGTTTTTTTTATTTAGTTATTAATATAGTTTTTAGTTACAAAGATAGAGTTTAGTTTTCTTTTACTTTTTAAATTGAAAATACTCAAGAAATTAGTAGAATATCTTTAAAAAAAGAAACTCTTTTTTTTTTCAAAATATATTTTATGATTAAAGCAAATATGTAACTTATCTCAGAGAGAGAGATAACAAATTTTTCTCAAAACATTAGATCTTATTTTCTCTCGGGAACATAAACACATTTCACAACATATTCAAGGTTTAGTAAAAATTACATTGCTTAGAACATAAAATAAAAGTATCATTTTTATGTAAACAAATAAACAACAGACAGTGGCAAATCCAATATTCAAGCGGATTTCTAATCGTGAAAGAAAGTTTTTGATTAAAAAAACTGAAAGAAAAAAATAAAAGTTTCAAACTAAATGTTTAAAGTTATAGATTAAATAGCACATACAACAACTCGTTAGTGTACATAGTAATCAAAATTAATGGTTACTATTATCAGTTATCTCATATTGATAAATTGATTTAGTATACTTAATGTCATAAATACAATAGGCGAAATAGCAAGCTGGTAAAACATTGATTAATAAAGAATAATTTCCAAATTTATTTTAGCCGGTCACTTTTAATAAAATTTAACTAAAATGACTAATAAAATTAACTTCATTCATCTAATTCATAAAATTACAAGGATATAACTTGATTTCTAATGATATAATTAGTAAGCATTATTCCTAAAAACAATTAAAATGATTATTCATATTAATTAATGAGTTGGGCCTTTTTTAAACAATAACTCTGTTGTTGGTTATAAACAATTACAAGGAGAAAAAAATCTTGGTAAATTACCGTACTTTTAAGTTAATGACGTTCCTGGTATATATATATATATAATTATGTATGTATATATTTTCCGTTCATACGTTACCTGTTTGCTGGAATTTCTAGTTCCAAAATTATAGTTCTTATTACCACCCATTAAGAAAAAATACAAAACTAAAAATTAAGTGTAACCGAATAAATAATTTTTATGCCACGCTCTGAGATATCATGAAAAAATTAACAAATTTATTCACATTTACTAACAAACGTAAAACCATATTTTATTGTTAATTTTAAAGTCATTAACAAAGCTCTTCGTTAAAAATTAACGTGCTTTTTGTTGTTCCAACAGAGCTAGAAGCACGATAAATTTTAACATATTCTAGTAGTTTTAACCATAATTTTTATCTCAGTGCAAAATTATTACGACAAACTTCAGAAAATTGTAAAAATTGCTTCGCATTAATCATATGTATTCGGTAATATTCTATAATGATTAAATACAATTACCGATTATTACACCAAACAACCAATAAACTAATATTTATTAATAGTGAAGATCAATGATTTAAAAACTATACACAATTCAGGTAATAAAAGCAACATTAAACTAAACAGGTTGACTAAAAACATTTCATCAAAAATATATTTCCCCAGAATATCTATTCAAAGTTTAGATAAATGAAATGATAATTACATGATTAAATTACTCCTCTTTACGCTGATTAATTTTTAAAAATATCAATCTGGAAAACATATCTTTTAAAAGTTTCTAGCTATTTAATTTTAACAATATTTCTAAGATCAATCAATCTTCAAAAATCATAATTTGAGCAGATTTAATATTAAAAATTACAGTGACATTTGCCTTCAAAGGTCAATAAATAACACAAAAAGTATTGTAAATTAACTTACCCAGTTCATTTTCTGGTACGATTTTTGATATTAGGGACCTCACAGCTAAATTGCCCATTCCATTTAAAAAGCCAAAAATATTGCCTAGAAAATATTAAGAAAAAATAGTAAATTGTAATGATTAACAAGAAGTTTATACAGATCAGTACAAACATATGGAATTTGAAACAAGGTTGAGAAAAAAGTTTAAAGTGTTGAAGATACTCACCAAGTAGAAAAAAGAAATTTTAATTTCTTATACCTCTACTATACATAAGGATTTAATTTTTAGAACATCAGTTTTGATTTTTCATTGCATTATTTTACATTACTTTTTTTTATTCATACAGCATACATCTTATATTTTTATAAACCCAGCAAAAACAAAACATTTAACCCCATAATTACTATCATAAGTCCACATCGCCGAATAATACTAAAGGTATTCCACTTTGATGCATATTAAATAAAATAAAATTAAATAATTATTGAGGATTTTTTTATCTTAAGATAATCTAATTTTATAATTATTTGTAAAAATCTTTGATTCGCATCAATATTTTTAAAGATATGGAGAAAAGCGTAAAAAGTGAAATTATCATTAAGAAGTCTAAACATTTGATTGCTCTCCTGCCTAGACTATTGGACTCAGGCCACTCCACTATATTTTTATAATTTAACCCTAGAAAACAAAATTTAAATCATCTGTAGCAAATCATTAACAATCAAAGCTGTTAATCTGTAGCAAATCATTCGACTTTTAAACACTACGAATTAAAAACAAGTATATTTTAATATTTCATTAAATAATATTTCATTATTAACATTTCATATTTCAAACAAATTAGCGTAACTTCAAAAAAAAAGTTTTTTTTTATTTCAGTTAAAAAATAGAAACGTGATAGAAATTATCGTTTGCACTCTATGGTGATGTTAAAAGTATTGCTCTCTACAAATAGCCTTGTTGCAGTAGTTTGTGAAGTATAGTGGACTATTCTGTAGTAGTAGTTCAGTAGTTTGTATTCTGACATTCAACGTTTCTTAGAAAAATAGAAAATAGATGATATGTTTATGGTTATTTAAAGAAAGTACGTTCTATGCCTGATTTTATAACTTAATCAATAGTTAACATGAAATAATTAGTTCATTTGAAGTAATTTTACTTTTTGCTTATTTGACTATACCTAGAAAACTAATGAAACGAACAAAAACTTTTCACACCGATTGTAAAACGTGTTTATCTAAAGAGAACTTCATGAGAAAAAAAATTATTTATTAATTTTTATCATTTATTATAAGAAGCTAAAAACATATGAATTTTTGAAATATAAATTTTTTTCACCACTTTACGTAATTTTAAATGACAAATTCTGAAATCTGAAGGGTCAGTCGATTAGTTCTTAAGAAGTAAAAAGTTAAAGATACATCTTCCTTGATATGGCTAAACACACAAACAATGTAATTACTTAACATTAACATCCAAACTTTGGATCACTCTTTCGCCTCACGTCGAAGGAAAGATATGTATATTAAGAAAATGCACATTTGTGAATCTGATTCTATACTTTAATTAATAGTTTAATAAATCTTAATTGATACCATCCGTTGGAACCACTAAGATTTGCACTTCTTTTGTGAAAATCTAATCATTAGCATACAGTTGTAAAATTTCAAAACAAAGTTCAAAGAGTAAATTGCACTACTTACTGATATAGAACAGCCAGAGCTCATAAGCGAATGCCAAAAATACATTTTTGCCGATGATAGACACCGATCCTATGATGCCGATGAGAGGATCACTAAATTTAAATACTTTAATAAAAACAGATGAGCAAACCAGGAAGACAATCATTTCTGTAAAACTGAAGGCTGCCCAATATTCAGAATAAATGGTTGGATTCCATTTATACATATGATGAGTATAGACATAAGCAATGTTAGTGTAAACTAGAAAGGACAAAAAAATTATTATTTTCTTTAAAAAAAATATTTAACATCTAACGAGGTACTAAATGGAACTAAAATTCGTGTTAAATATACATTCTAAAGATAAATTTTGTAATTTTTTGTTACATAATTTTCAACTGCGTCAGAAAACAAATAAAGATGGGGAAAGATTTTATACAAATCGATAGCCGTTTCTATTTTTTTTTACTGTGCTTACTTAAGAGTCAAAAGGCATAAGCAAAAGTTCCAAAATAGCGAACGAAATTTTCACTGGAAAATAAGTCAACTAATTTGTATACAATTCGGTCTTCTTAGATAAACAGAAAGGAAAATAATATGTTCTGCAATTAAAACAAAATACTAAGAGATTCAGAGCCTCAGATAAAAAGGGAAGTCAAGTCAAGGGGATAGGAAGTCAAGTACAGGATAAGAGTTAAGATTACATACAACTCATGGCCGGTTATGTCACAGAACGCTACTAAAAGGCTTTCCTATTATGGATTAGCTAATCGTGCGCATTTAAACCGATATTTTCATTTATCTTAAATACCTCAATTTTATGTTTTTCTAATATATTATCCAAATTGGTTCAGAAGTAGCTATTTTATCGTAATTTACTGATTTGGCAAGCTCAAGTTGTTCACTAAATGAATGAACTACGGTAAAAATGATAATATTTGGCAATTTTAGACAAAAATTATAAAAAAAATACAAAATTATAAATAAAAGTCCTGGTCCCATTGCTCACGAGTAGTCAGCCCAATATCGGGAATCGTATTAATTCATTTTTGACTAAGGGTTGCTATGCAGTTCTCAAAACTCATGATGTGCCCAAATTTGTAAGTACAAATTTAGCTTTACTTTACTGCCGAAATTATTCTCCCCGATTATATACAAGGAAAACAACTATAAACAATTAATAAATAATTCTCTAAGGAAATCTTGTTATAGTAAACTTATAACATATATTTTCGAAAAGTTAATCAAAAACAATCATTTTTTTATATTTTATACAAAGTATTAAACAAGATTGGAAATTGTATTTGTAACTTTAATCATTTTATTGTTCTTTGTTAACGATGCAAATAGATGAAGTTTTTTATGCCTATTATTAAAAAAAACTATATAAAAGTAGAAGATTTATAAGTATATTCAAAAAAGCTAAAACTAACATTTTGCCATTGATTCGGTATGCCAGTACTTAATCTAAGCTTATCATCATATGCTTTAAATACTACTATATTGATTAAATGTACAATATTTCAAGAGTGTCATTACCATCTACTACCATTAGGACAATTACACACACTTACAGTTTTTGAGAGCAATTTTTTCCGGTCAACAAGGGCATCGAAATAAAACAAATACAAAATTCAATCGATTTATAGTTTAGGGCTAATTATTCATATTTCATGTAAAAATCCTATAAATACAGATTAAAATAGTTTAGATTTCATTTATTTCAGTGGTAAAATAGGTTTGTACGTTATTCCGTTAAGATGTTTAGAAACTACAAGCAAATTTTGCAAACATAAGTAACCCTAGCAACAATTTTACCTTGGCCCCAGTTGGGTATAAAACTGGCTCGATATGCGTCCTATAAGAACACGCACCGAGGGACCAATATTGGTAGGTCTAGATTTTTTAATATTGGTCCTAGAATGGCCTATATAGGGCCTACATTGGCTATTATAGAACCTACGTTGGCTAAATAATGGATATAAAATATCGAGTGAATCTGACAATTCTATATAGGATCTATATTGGTTGTAAAATATCGGGTGAATCCGAAAATTCTATATAGGACCAATATCGGAAAATGAAGGCCCTTTGAAACCTTACCTGAGCCAAGATTCATGAATATTGGCCCAACGAAGACCCAAATTATTTTGCTGCTAGGAAAGATACACATACTTTGTAAATGCAAAATCAACATAATTTAAGAAGTATTTCAAAGCTTACCTTCGTATGTTAAGGCTATAGTACAGCTTGACAACAAAAGAAGCCACAACTGAAAGCGACCGTGATTCTCACGAAACTTTATACAAGTTCTTAAGCCATCCGTGAAATTTTGGGATATCGTCAAGTCTCTTATTTTCCTTCTCAAACTCACCCGAACATCGAGCCCACGTGTCTCGGGAACAAATAAGACGACCCAAAGAATGGCACATACGTGACCGACCGCNCGACTCATCTGCAAGCATAATACGTTTGCAGATGTGTCGTTTTAGTTTTGAACCAGCGATATGTTTTAAATACTGTTATATTGATTAAATGTACAATATTTCAAGAGTGTCATTAGGATTACTACTACCAGTAGGACAACTACACACAGTTATAGTTTTTGAGAGCAATTTTTCACGGTAAACAAGGATATTAAAATAAAACAAATACTAAATTAAATTGATTTATAGTTTAAGGCTACTTATTCATATTTCGTGTAAAAGTCATATAAATATGGATTTAAATAGTTTTGTTTGCATTTATTTCAGTGATAAAATAGGTCTGAATGTCATTCCGTTAAGATATTTAGAAACTACAAGCAAATTTTGCAAACATACGTAACCCTAGCAACAATTTTACCTTGGCCCCAGTTGGGTTCAAAACTAGCTCGATATGGGTCCAATAAGAACACGCACCGAGGGACCGATATTAGCAGGTTTAGATGTTTTAGTAATGGTCCTAGAATGGCCTATATAGGGTTTACAATGACCAATATAGAACCTACGTTGGCTGAATAATGGATATAAAATATCGAGTGAATCTGACTATTCTATGTAGGACCGATATTGGCTGTAAAGTGGCTGCAAAATATCGGATGAATCGGAAAAATCTATATAAGGCCGATACGGAAAATAAAGGCCCTTTGAACCAAGATTCCAAATCCAAGATTCTTGAATATTGGCCCAATGAAGGCCCAAATTATTTTGCTGCTAGGGAAGATACACATACTTTGTAAATGCAAAATCAACATAAGAATTTAAGAAGCACTTCAAAACTTACCTTCGTATGTTAAGGCTATAGTACAGCTTGACAACAAAAGAAGCCACAACTGAAAGCGACCGTGATTCTCACGAAACTTTATACAAGTTCTTAAGCCATCCGTGAAATTTTGGGATATCGTCAAGTCTCTTATTTTCCTTCTCAAACTCACCCGAACATCGAGCCCACGTGTCTCGGGAACAAATAAGACGACCCAAAGAATGGCACATACGTGACCGACCGCCATCGTAGAGAAAACACACTTGTAGCCAAAGAAATTATACAACTGTCCGCCAACTAAAGCACCGAGAGTCACTGCCAATCCGAACGATATTTGCAATGAGGTGTACTTCATCGACCTCAATTCTGTAGTGGATACTTCCGATACGTGACTATAAATACAAGTCATGACACTAATGAATCCCCCGCTGATTTGGGTGGGCAAGTTTGAAATGAGTATGAAATATAAGGGTGAGTCAAAGTAAATCGTGCATAATATTATTCCGATATCGTTCAGAAGAAAGCCAGTCAAAGCAGATATCAGAAGAGGATTTCGACCATGCTTGTCACTCCAGGGTGCTAAGAATATCACAACAAATGCTCCTATAGGAGCTAGCATGTTCAAGTACAGGTTGTATGTGTTAGCTAATATCTCTACGTTATCACTTTCGTTTTTGAATGTCTTGTTGTGCAGGTTATCACAAATGTGTTTAGAATAGTTTAAATAGTACAAACAACCTTTGTCCATCATTAAGTTTGTTAAACAGGTTGTGTTCAATATGAATGAAAACATGAACAAAAACATGACAGGTTCAATTCGTAATGAAGAAAGGATTCTGCAGTATTTGACGTGCTTTGCATTTGCAGGGGGTATGAGTGTTTGTTGATCTGTACTGCCATAGTGTGTCAAGTCTTCTCCATTGTTCAATGAACGGTTATTTTCAGAGAGTTTTTCATGGGAATTCTCGACACTGTCACATTTTCCCATGCTTGTTTATGAATCAGTAGACTCGTCTTTTTAAGCAGTTTTAGGAAACGGTAATTCTGGTTGCTTCACACACAAAATATGCCTAAAAGTTAAACAAAAAATAAAAAAAATGCAATCAAAAATCTCGAAAAAAAAAACATTTTTCAAGATGTTGTGATTCAAAGTTATAAAATAAAGACAAGATTCCATTTAAAAAAAAAATAAGATAAATTTCATGAAGAAACTGTTTTTGTAATAAAATATTGCAACAAAGATACAATAAACTAGTTTACGATAAACTATTTTGAAAAGATGTGTTAAAACAATAAAGAATTTAGTGAATTATACTTTAAGGGACACAAATTTCTAGTAGAATGATTCCCGTAAATACATGTCTATGCAATGTTTACTAAGTTTAATGCAGCAACGTTACTATAGAAGTTAATGTAAGCCTAGTTTCTTGTAGATTTTCTAGTAATACTAGAGTTCTTTCACAATTTAGAAATTGCGCATAAAAATTTATATATAAAAAAAACTTATCATGATAACTTTACAAATGGTCTTAACATTATGTTGCTACAAGCTCTTAAAATGCTTTAGAATTTGAATTATTTAAAAATGTAAGAGTGTTTTAGAATAATAAGTTTGATACTTTTTAATAGAATTAGCAAACTTGGTGAGTATAAGGGAAAAAATTAGCAAACAATTTAAATATTGAAAAACTGAGGCAGACAATAAAGTGTAAAGACGTTTAAACAATACTTTCCAAAATTTAAGACATCAATTACAAATTAATCATATAAAGGATAAAATAAAAAAATTCAAAATATTAATTTTTAAACATCCATTTTTCTATAACTAAATGAAATGAAGTTCAGTATATATTTATATTTTGGTATCAAAAAAATTTCAAATCTTGAGCATACAACATGTCATTGATTTTAAATTTACATGAATATAAGTAACTATACGATAAAATTATTTAATTAATTATTCAAGATCACACTATTATTATTAATAAATAATTACGTTTCATAAATAAATGCTGTTGATATTAATGAAAAAGGTTTACACAAAAATTAGAAAATATGTTTTGAGATATCAATATATTGTATAGTCAATTGTATAGTTAACAATCTTTCGGCAAAAAGGAAAAGCTATATGCAAATATTTATACCTAATCTATTACATTTTATTTGTATATGAGGAGAGAAAAAATTCTGCTAAAAGTACTGTACTGTAATGACATTTCTTTTAAAAATAAAAACAATAATAATAATTCTAGTGAGTAATACCAAAATACACGGTATTTAAACCTTTCATTTAGCAATTTTTCTCTTCATACTTTAATGGTTTTCCGGAGATTCTGATTTTCAAAGTTATAGCTCTTATTATCAGACATTTGGTAAAGTTTACAAAACAAAAAAGTAAATTTATCCTAATAAATAGTTTTTATAAAATGCTATAAGATATCAAGAAGAAATTACAAATTTTATAACATTTATCAAATTTTATCACGTTATAAAACCATATTTTATTGTTAACCTTACCAAAATCATTACCAAAGCGCTTCAGTAAAAATTATCGAGCTTTTTGATGTTACCATGTAACCAGAAACACGGTAAATTTTACGTAGTTTTGACCACAACATTTTTCTCAGCGTAAGATATGTAAATATAAGCACAGAAATATAAAGAAAATTAATTTGGTCTTAGAAACAACGCTAATTACTTAAAGCAAATATTTGTTAATTTTAGTAAGCAACGTTGTGTAATTAAAAAAAGCAAAACATAAAAACATTACATTATTAAAAGTCAAAATTGCTTACATACATTTAGAAATAACACATAACGTAAGTACTCCATTAAAATGCCTTTAAAGGTTTCGACTAAGACTGAAATTTTCGACAAAGGAAAAAAATACTATTATTTATTGAAGCAGCTATGCAAACTTATTCTTGAACGTCAATATTTTCGTTCGTTATCCGCATTCGTCGTTAGAAATTTGTCGTAGCCTTAAAATCATTAAATTTTACATTTAATTATGAAAGAAATTTTGTCTTACTAAATAATATTTTATAAAAATAGAAAACTTCGAATGTAATTAAAAGATCAACATTTTATTGAGTCCACTTTTTTTTTATAAAAGTGTATTTTTATTTTTATGTTAAGGACACCAATATTATTGCATATTATTCGCGACATTCAATACACTGATTTTTTTTATTTTAAAAAATAATAAATAAAAAATATTTATTTGCTTGTTTAAAACGTATTAAGTTTTCAATTCTGATTATGGCCAATTATTTTATCAGCCAAAATAACCATTAAAACATAGAAAAAAAATAACGAATGTGCAATTATTTTATTTCATTAAAGAGCAGTATCTTTGTTTTAAAAATAATTCCTGTAATTTTTCCACATTTTTTTTTTCAAAATAATTGTGGGATCATGTCTTAACAGGCATACGCAACAAAGCAGGAGTGCAACTGTTCTTGTTTTCCAGTGGCGCTGCCATCTATGGCCAAACATTCGACTTCTGCCACACCCATACGTCACGCCCGTTTATAGGGCGGATCCATTCATTCATCCACAGATCGTAATTTAGATCTGAATCAGAGAAGGATCAATCTCCACTTCAGTACTTCCAGACGTATTGATTTGTTATGGGAACATGGAGGACTTTGCGACTCGACAGATTAAACGTGCATCAGACACCATTTTACTACACGGGGAAACTTCGACCGGCGAGGTTTGAACCCACGAACTCTCGGACATGGACTCAGCGCCCTTTGGAACACTAATGTTTCTTCTAACCTATCCTCCGTGGATATTAAAATATCAACGAATAAATTAATATTAAATCTGATATAACAAATATATCGGACATTCACCACAGCGGTTATACGATTGTTGACATTCACCGGTGAAGGTCGACATTCTCTTGATTTTGGTCATTCACGGTACAATATACATATGTTGAAATAAAGAATATTCTATGTTGTTGAAATAAAGAATATTCTATATATATGTTGAAATAAAGAATCTGTTGAAGAAGAATAAAGAAAAACAGGAGCAATAAACGTTTGAAACGTAATTAAGAAAACATATTTTTTTAACGAATTCAGTTATTTTATATTAATTTTAATAGAGCAGTAGAAAATTCTATGGCGATTTTTCACAAATGAATCTGCTCTTCATAATTTATTCAATAAACTATATTGAATAAATAATGAATAAGCTATTTTTTTTTATAAAAAAAAAACTTGCCTTTTTTTATTGTTATTTTATTAAAAATAATTGTGAATATGCAACTGAAAGAAAAGTAAATAGTCATTATTGATTAAATCTAAATGTCATTTCAGGTTTCAAAAAAGTTTTCAAAAAATTTTTGAAACTGTTAAGTTATTGAGAGTTAACTGCAACTCTCGGAACCCCTTAAGCTTTTCCACGGAACTCTAGGGTTCCGCGGAACAGCATTTGAAAACCGCTGACTTATGAACAATATTTTACTCGGATAAAATACAGATTAAAAAAAACTTTATCAACTTTGCACTAAAATTTACAGTAAAAGTAAACTAATCTAGTTTTTTATCTAAAAATTGTCTTACTTTTAATAATCTCGTTGGCGCGCATCAGACCAGGTACCATAAATCTTTTTCTTATTAACCATAGAATTGTGTATGCTCTTCATTAACAAACGTCGGCTCAAAATTTCTTGAAAATCATCAGAATAATAACTAACTGTTTAAAAAAAAAACTGATAGCATGTAGCAAACAGAAAGAAAAACGTTTATTTAAATTTTTCACACGTGCTGAAAAAGCGGTGATCCGTGTATTTTCTTAAATAGTCAAATGAGAGAAGAAAAAAAACTGTTCTATAGAAACAGCGACATACAGCTGTCGACACAAGAATGCACATGATCAATCAGAAAACACTAAATAAATATGAATCAGTCGCGAATAACCAGATTAGAACTAACAAAGAATTACAAAGGGAAAATAATATCAAAAACACAGCAATATTTTTGAATACTCTCGAATAATTTCTTGTACAAATGTTTTGCTGCGTAAATTTGAATAATTTTAAACACCTTTCCCACTTTACAGTATTAAAATAGATCCATCACAAAACAACCTGCTCTAAATATTATATCTGTGTCGGCCTCTTATTTGTTGTTTGCAAAATATAACAATATAAATTAAGCAGAATATTTATATGTATGTACCTTAACCTGATCCTAGGTAAAAATATGCCCGAAGACAGGATGGACCTAACTGCTTAACTAATTATGGTATTAAGTACAAATTGAAATAAAAAAGGTTTAGTATTAAAAAGCTAAATGGTGAAAAGGTACTCCTTCGTTTATTATAACCATAAAAAATCGCCTTATTATTATTAATGACGTCAATGATAGCTAATTAATTTTAGCAATAGGTATTAGTGAAATATATCAATATAAATAAAGTAGAATATTTATATGTATACTAATCGGATCCAAGGTAAAAATACGCCTGAAGACACCACGGACCTAACTGCTTAACAAATTATGGTAATAGGTACAAATTGAAGTTAAAAAAAGTTTTGCATTAAAAAGCTAAAAGGTTAAAAGGTACTCATTCGTATATTATAACCATAAAAAATCGCCTTATTATTATTAATAACGCTAATGATGGCTAATTAATTTTAGTAATAGGTACTAGTGAAATATATCAATATGAATTAAGCAGAATATTTATATGTATGTACCTTAATTACCGGAACATTGGTAAAAATACGCCTGAAGACACCACGGACCTAANGACATACAGCTGTCGACACAAGAATGCACATGATCAATCAGAAAACACTAAATAAATATGAATCAGTCGCGAATAACCAGATTAGAACTAACAAAGAATTACAAAGGGAAAATAATATCAAAAACACAGCGATATTTTTGAATACTCTCGAATAATTTCTTGTACAAATGTTTTGTTGCATAAATTTGAATAATTTTAGATGCCTTTCCTACTTTACAGTATTAAAATAGATCCTTCACAAAACAACCTGTTCTAAATATTATATCTGTGTCGGCCTCTTATTTGTTATTTGCAAAATATA